AAAAGGATGTTTTTTGGAGGGGGTGTCCATCAACCACCCTCAGGGGGGCCCTGGTTGAACTCATTTGTACACCACCCGTACGCGTGCAGCACCTCGTCCTTCAGGGGCATCAAAGAGGTTGGCCACCGAGCCTCGCACGGGTACCCAGTTGGGGTAGAAAAGAGGTCTTCCCCTTGATGCTTCTAACCAGCACCACCCCATTTCGGGTGGTGATTAGATGGAAAAGTTGGGAGCTGAAACAGCATCACCAACACCAAGCCTCTTTGGGCTCATGTGCATTCAGTGTTGGCATACACACTTTGGCTGGCATGTTTTTAAGATGGATCTGGCGCCAGTGGCAGCTGTCAAGCCGTCCACGGCTGAGGCAAGTGCTGTGGCGATTGAGGTCCGTGACCCGGATCTTCAACTTCACATCCAAGGGAGGTTGGTAGGAACAGCGGACAGACCTTCTTTCGGCTCAGACATGCTCAGACGGAAGCAGAGCTCGTCAGACGTCTCCCCCGCCCGAAACGGCCGCCCCCAGGACTCACGCCATCGGACGGTCCGGACGTTTGAGGTCCTCCACCTTGGAATTCCTGTCCCTGGAGGTGGGTCGGACCGTGAGCTACCATGGGGAGGGTGTGGATCATAGTACATCCGTGATCAACAGTATCGTTTATGGTACTTGGCACCCCCGCAACATAATGCTCAATTTCCTACCGGAACAAGATTGTGTCGACACTTTTCTATGAAGAAGAAGATGATGATGGTGATGATATCGTATTTAACGTTGTTTGAATCCGGAGAGTGCATCTTGAGTGTGTTTTTTTTCGGACTGGCACACCCACGTTTTTCTCAGAGTAGAAGCATTTGCGGCTTGAGCCGGTTCCAGTTGCAATGGGCTTCACTTTACACTTCTGCTACGCGCGGCAGGGCCCCTCCGACGCGGCGGAAGTGATGGGCTTGAGCCGCCAGCTTTGGAGCCATTGGCCACTGAGTGGCGATAGTATCAAGACCTAGAACCTGAGTGACCACTGCTTTGGAGCTATAAGACAGGGTCAGATGGGTTCCAGCCACCTAGTCTTCTTATCGAATTCGGCTGAATTAGGGATTTCAATGCCTATTATAAGGAGTGCAGCTACCAAGCTGCTGAAATGCTGTGCTTAGCATTATTGCAGGTTTGATAGGCTGGATATGGATGTCCGATGTGTTCTAGGGGACCCTCTCTAGAGGCCATACGCTGCGTCGGTGCTGCTTGTATTGCTCAGTTAGGGTGCTGATTGACACCAACTGCGGCTAGAACATCCTTCAAAACCAGTCGGAGGGTCCGAATCTGCGATTTTCCAATGGGACTTTCAACTGTGCCCAGGGTGTTTGGATGTGTTTTGATCATTTTTGGGTTGTCACTTCAGGTTGAAATCCCACTCCCCGGGGACAGACATTCCTTAGATATCCTTAGGCATGTTTATATACTTTAGAGACTTAGACATGCCAAGTATAGCGAACAGGATATGGAAACAAGAGTTGTTGTTTTGACATTTACACTCCTCGGAACAATCAGTGAAGTGGACTGCAGGATGACCATTTTCCAAGTTTCAAACAGGTGGTGAACTCCATGGAAACCCTGATTTTTCCAGGGAATGTATATATTATACTGTAGATGCTTTGGGATCACTCTCAGTGACTTCATCCATGTCTCGCACACCTTGCAGCAAGACATGCTTACGACTCACTCACTCTCAGGCGTGCCAAGCATGTGGCCCTCACCTCTGCGGAGCGTTTGTACCCCCGCGGAGGGCGTGCGGATTCCGCGGAGGGCGTGCTGATTGGTCATTTTGGCTGTTGGACCAACAGAGGTTGAAGGACCCTATAGGCCCTATAGACTACAGTATCCCATACTTACCCGTGATGGGTCCTATCAGGTCACTGAACCTCTCTTGGGATGGGGTGTTTCTGTTCAACTCCGGGGAGGTGTGTCGACTGCGGTGGTTTCAGAGGTTTCCCATGGCAGAGGCAGAGACACCAAGAGGTGCTGAAAAGATAGGGGTCCAGATAAACCACCAAACTTGGGGATTGCGGCGTCGATGCTTTTGAAAGCCAGAGCTGTCCACAGGCTCACCTCCATCGAAATCATCCAAGCTGTTGGCCTTCGGTGGCTGAGGGTGCAGGGGGTCAGGATGATAGTGAATGCTAGGCATACACGGGCATACACTAGCTGTTGCTCAGGAGGGAGCTGAGGCGCTACAGGGAGTTCCCCAACCCCTTGCTAGTACGGATGTTACAGATGTTGGTTTCTGTTGTTTCTGCCCGTGCCATGTAGGAGAACTGTTGCTTTGGCTGAAGATTCATCCGCAAGGCGTGTTGTGGAAGAGTGTTTGGAGTTTGGAGTGTTTTGGATCTTAGTTGCAAGCTTTTCAGGCTGTGCGTGCATTTCGGAATGAGTACATGTGCCTTCGTCCTTGGGGCTGCTTCGTCCTTGGAGCCTGTTCGGAAGATGCTTGGCTGGGTGGGACCTTGGCAGCCAAGGCGGATGCCTTTGGCTCTTCTGCCCGTTTCCAAAAGGGCCACTTGAGGTCCGGGGGGGATTCTTCTTCGGTTCCGGGTGTCGCAGCGGCGAAGCTCATCCATGCGACACCCGGGTGTCGTTGAGATCCTTTGAGGCTTCACTTGGAAACCTTGGGGCATCGGCGACGCCGACCGCCAGGTATTTAGCGCTCCTGGCCGACAGCCGGCGCCTCAACGCGCTCTTGGCCGAGCTGAGCGCCGTGCAAGGGCTGGCGGACAGTGCGGCACCGGAGGAGGCCTGCCACGAGTCATGAGGGCTGAGGAGAAAGAGAACGGAGCCTCCAAGTACCTTCTGACCAAATACCTTATGAGGCACTTGGAGGAGTGTAGGGTTTCTGGAGATAAAGAGGGCCACCTGGCCTGGATGATCCAGGAAAATTCTCGCAGTGAGATGGTCAGTTTTTCTGTGGGTCAGCTTGAGGTGTTCTTGGATGTGCAGCTGGTGCAGCTGGTGCAGCAGACCACGCTTCACCAGCTGATTTGGATCATCTCAACATTTGGGCAGTGGAAGTAAGGATCAAATCGGAGAACTCGAAGATGATAAGGAGCTGCGACACCGAGAACGTCGCTGCGTGGTGGGTTGAACAGGATATTTGATTCAATAAGCATGAGAAGGCAAAGGTCCCTATAGCAACCACCAGACCGGGATCCAAAAAAGATGTGGCGAATGGACACCAGGTCACCACTTATAATACTTAACCTTTGATGAGGGGTCATTCATAACCACCATATGGGGGGGGACAGGAACCAGGCCAATCCTGTTTGAAAATTCTGAAACTCCTGGCTTCGGCCAATGCGTGTTGTGAACACTGTTTCTTCTCCCTTGATCCGTGTCCAGGCTGGGCCTCCTGCCGGCCGAGCAGAGGCCTTGCAGAAATGCCAGGCGCAGATCCAGACGCAGGCGCAGATCCAGCCGCCGGGAGCAGGGTGCTGGGGTGCTGTTTGGCTTGATCGTCTTTACTATTCTTTAAGGAATCACTGGGGTATTCACCCAAACTCTTCGATTCAGACACTACACTCACTGTATCTCGATATTTGGAGCTTGCAGGTTTCTATGCAATGCATGTTCCAAGGACATCTTGGCTTTTCTTCTTCTTGTGTCAGTGGCTTTTCTCAGTGGCTTTTCTTCACCCCAAAAATCAGAAACCGAGAGATCCAACGGATCCCAGGCCAAAGATGCTATCGACGCCTTCAAAGAACGCGCCAAAGACTATCCCTGTGGCTGGCCGTCGGGGCCCTCAGGACCACTGTGTCGCGACCGCCGCGGCAGCCGCCGCGACACACGCGGATGGTGGGACGACGACAAAGCGAGCTCTTGAGCTGCGCTTGTTATAAGGCTACACCAGCACCTTCCAACGGGTGGTTTCTGGACACCTCGTAATAATCACTAAGAGGCTATATATAGACACCTCTTGGAAGGTCCTGGTAGTAATCATTATTAGTACTCATTATTAGCATGTAATTCGCCTATCCGAGCTTGCAAGATAATAGCACCAGTTGCCCAGCTTTGATGTTCGAACTCATGTTTTGGACCGGCTGAGGCAGTTGGGTGATCCGAAACCGGCGAAACGAACGGCCAACAAAGGTGGCGGGGTTGAAGCCAAGGGACCAAGGTCTGTGGGGCAGTCCTTGCAGCACAGTGCTCACCAAACAGGAAACGCTTGTAAGTGTGTTCACTTTTTGTTGGACTGATCTGTGTCCTACAGTTCTGCAGGAGTGCCTCCCAATACTGCAAAGCTCCCCCGACAAAAACGAAAGATGACCAGGTCAACAAGAACAACACTTCTAGTTTTCCTTCCTGCCCCCCACGGAGTTCCAGACATTTATTTACCATCCCTCTGCCAGACCAAGACGGACCTCAGTCGCCAGTCGAGGCACCCCAAGACGGACCTCCTGCGCATTGCGCGGACGCCTGAGGACTTGCAAAGTATTTGCGAGGCGTGTGCCACGCGCACCTGCGGGCGCGAGCGCAGGGTGTGGGAGGGGCTTTGTCTGTATACTTCACGTGGCACACGACTCGAATGTTTGGGAGTGCCCAGTAATTTGCTGGCTTTTCTTTCAACCTCCCTAGAAGTCCAAAGACTATATTTTGACCGACTGAAGTAAAGCAGATTCCTGTTCGGGTCACCTAAAGAACATTCTTTTGATAGTCTTTGACTCCCAGGGACCTCATTGCAGAATATAATATATAGCGGTTTCTGGTGCACAGAGGGTGGCAGCTGCCCTGGTTTTTTTTCTTTGGGCGCTCGTTGTTCTTCACTTCGGACGTGACCGAAGAGGACGGGCCCATAGGTTATGGGGTACCACTCCCAGATACCCAACGCTCCGCCAAGATGGCCTACATGAACCATCCAAAACCATCAACTGTAGGCCATATTTACATACATCGAGCATTTGGGAATGGGATCATGTAGACTCTTGATTAATCACCCACCCATTCTAGATTGTTTTTTTTCTAACTTTGTCGTGTTTGGGGCGGTTTATTGAATCAAGAGTCTACTTGGTCGGTTCTTCAAGCTCTGTGGAACCTGATCCATTGAGCGTTCACTGCTGTCAATGACCCAGACCTGGGAGCGTGGACCAACCCTCCCCTGGCGTGGAGTCATATGCCACTCCCATCGAGTGTTTGGGTATGACCAAGCTTTTTGCTGCAGCTGAGGCATGCTGAGGCAGTAGGATCCTTGAGAATACCCTTGGTTCAAGAACTTGAGCTAGTCGATAAGAGAGAAGTCCGTGGGAGGTAAGGATTGCTGAGTTGAAAAGAGAAAGTCATGCCAATCTGTAGAGGCAAAACCCAATTTTCGGAAACTGTTTTGCACTCTCAGGATTCAATAGTCTGTTGTCAACTTCACGAAGTCCGAAATGGTTGCCTGTGAAAAAGAGCCGTCGGGGAATAGTCGGAAGCCCCCTCTTCAACGAGACTTGCACAATTTGTTACGTGGACAACCTATGTGGCAGCCGCCGCACCATCAGTCGCCAGGGCTTTGAAGCCTCCGTGCTGGAGCAAGAGAAAGAACTGCTCGCTCAGGCGGTTTACTGCGGAAAACTCCAAAAACTACGATCAGGGTGCGGCCGGCCAGCTGCTTTTTGCCAGCTGGGATCTTCTTCTCGTCACCCGACCCAGGAAAAGTGGATTACCTTGAACCTTATTTGGGGAATTGGTTCCCCATTCGGAACAAAAAAGGTGAACAAAAATAATCCATTTGTTTGCATGGACATGGGTCAAAACCTGGAGCCCGACCAGTCCACCATGTATATAGGACCTTCCAGGGAGGTCTACTTCTCTGGCTCTCGGGCCATGACCCAGAGTCAGATGATTTCCGAGCTTGAAACCAAGCAGCCTCTACTAACCATCATTCACCACATGGATCTACCCAATATACCGATTATATACATGAACACCAACTGATGGGTTACATTGATTAAACGAACATGGTCCCTGAGAATGGCACCTTGAAAAGACGGTTTTCCTCTAGCTGCACCCAGTGGTTTTAAGGGTCCATGTTCGGTGTTCTGCAGGGTATATCAGCTGACCTCCGGAGAAATCATCGGCGGACCTCGGCGGACGTCGGTGGGCCTTGCCGCGGACCCGCGGACGCGCCGTGCCGCGGACGCGCCCGAGCTAGGTGGAGGAGTTGCTCGTCGCCGATCCCAGGAGTCACGACCAAACGCGCGGGTGACGCGGTGCATCTCGAAAAACGACGGCCGTGAGGCCTGGAGGGTTCAAGAGTCAGACAAGTTAATTTCTGGGAGCTCCAAGTGAATTTCTGGTAGATTTGGAGTTTTGGGGCGGCCGTACCAGGGTTTGGGGATTTTGAGTTGGAACTCCTTGGCGGTGCTTCTTGTGATAAACCCTCCCCAACTGCTGGACATCCAGGCCATGCGACTGTTCGTGCAGGGCCCGGGCCCTGGTCGTGCAAGGTTTTAAGGGCCAAGTCATGCAAGGCCGAGGTCCTTTGCTTGGGAGGCCAAGGTCCAGTCACCTGTCCTGGTAGCACAAGCTGACAGAAAGTGAGTAGCATGGAATCACTCATGGAATCGTAAGAATGCCCGATTCCCATGCCATTTGACAGGGAACAATCGGCGCCGTAAATAGGCACCTATATCGGGAACATAGGCACCGTTTCAGTTCCCTCTCACAGCGGTGCTATTTGCTTGGCCAACCCCACAGGACCTTGACCAGCTCCTTGTCGCGCAGAGTGGCCTTTTGGGAGGTGCCGAGGGGTCAATGGTTGACGGTGCTGTGGTGATAAACATCATTAAACATCCTACACCTGATGCAGAACATATGGATCCCAGGCAATTACCAATAGAACACACCAAGATTCATGAGAATCACATAGAATATCATAGAATAATTAACTGTTTAATACCATAAATTCAATAATTTTCCTGTGTATGTGCACTGCCTATGTTGTAATGGGGGTGTGTTTTCCACTGTTTTGCAACTGTTGGGCCATTAGCTTGCTTGCGGCAACAGCTAACGACATCCATATCCGCCATATGGGCCACATCCATCAAATGATAGAGGCCTGACCTGCTGCTTCCATGTATTGGAATTAATCCGTTTCATCAACGTATCGAGTGAGTGTGCGTACCTTGGCTTTCGCTTATTGCCAACTTTGGTGTCCGATCTCATGTAAGTCGTGCGTTCTTCTAACTGGGTAGTCAAAGGCTCTTTTCAGTTGCTATGTGTGTAGGCAGTCCATCCAGCACTTGAGAAAAGCCAGACATACAGGAATTGCTACGTCATACCTGGGTACCGTGATGGCGGTTTCAGCGATGCGTTCAACCTGTACTTGGGATGATGGCTGGCATTGACTCCTATTTTTTGCTTCATGAGTTGAAAGCACCGCTTTCCGGGGGCGATCCACAACAGGTGCAACTTCTGAGAACTGAAGGGAGTGTAACTTCCGACCTTGGGCGAGTTGGCCATGTGGCCCGGATCTGCTGCTCCGAATCAGCTCCAGTCCCGATCCGTTTTCGTACCGAACCTCAGGTACCGGTGAGGGAGTGAGACTGACACTGGTGCCAGCCGCTGTCGGGTGGTCTGGTCAGGTACACCGGGTCGAACAAAGGTACGACTGGTGGATCCCTATGGGTGTGTTTTTGTGTCCTTCTCTTCCAACAGAGGTTGAAGAACCCTAGTGGCCCTAGTTCGACTATCCCAGTTGGGTACCTCAGTAGGGTGCTAGTTCAGGTCACTATCCACCTCTCTTGGTGTTCGTTTTGTTTCATTTTCCGACCTCACCGTGGCACATCCGGTTGGGGGAACTTCCCGTGCCTGATCCCCCCCTCTGCACTGTTCGTGATTCTTTCCGCAAACTGTGAAGGAGCAAGTTCTGTTGCGATTGCGTCGAAGAGTTGCAACTAGTCCCTGTATTTGCTCATAGCTATTAATCTCATCCCCCAAGGGCTCCAACTACATCCAACTACCTTGTGAGAAGTTGGTTTGGGTGGGTTTGGGTAACTATAGCTTCTAAGGATGTACTGCACTTGGAGCATCTTGGAGCCCTAGTGATCTATGATGCAGGACTCCAAACCTCCTGGCACCAAACATGCAC